AAAAAACTTGCCAAATTTGACATGGATATTTCTATTTGCATGTAAAATCATTTGTAAAAACTTTATGTCAAAAAGACTTGTCAGTAATGTATAAATTATAATTTTTTTTGTTTTGGCCTCGAGCTCTAGGGGTAACATCACATTTTTGGCCAAATTTTAAATTCATCAAAAAAATTTCCAAATTTGACATGGACATTTCTATTTGCATGTAAAATACTTTGTAAAAGTTTCATGTCAAAACGACTTGTCAGTAATGTCTAAATTATAATTTTTTTTTTGGCCTCGAGCTCTAGGGGTAACATCACATTTTTGGCTAAATTTTAAATTCATCAAAAAAATTTCCAAATTTGATATGGATATTTCTTTTTGCATGTAAAATCCTTTTTAAAAGTTTCATGTCAAAACGACTTGTCAGTAATGTCTAAATTATAATTTGTTTTAGTTTTGGCCTCGAGCTCTAGAGGTACCATCACATTTTATGGCCAAATTTTAAATTAATAAAAAAACTTGCCGAATTTGACATGGATATTCTTCTTGAATGTAAAATACTTTTTAAAAGTTTCATATCAAAAAGACTTGAAAGTAATGTCTAAATTATAATTTTTTTGGTTTTTGCCTCGAACTCTAGGGGTACCATCACAGTTTTTAGCCAAATTTTAAATTCATCAAAAAATTTTCCAAATTTGACATGGAAATATTTCTATTAGTATGTAAAATCCTTTGTAAAACTTTCATGTCAAAACGACTGGTCAGTAATGTCTAAATTATAATTTTTTTAGTTTTCGTCTCGAGCTCTAGGGGTACCATCACATTTTTTGGCCAAATTTTAAATTAATCAAAAAACGTGCCAAATTTGACATGGATATTTATATTTGCATGTAAAATCCTTTTTAAAAGTTTCATATCAATACAACTTGTCAGTAATGTCTAAATTATAATTCTTTTTAGTTTTAGTGTCGAGCTCTTGGGGTACCATCACATTTTTTGGCCAAATTTTAAATTCATCAAAAAACTTGCCAAATTTGACATGGATATTTCTATTTGCATGTAAAATCCTTTGTAAAAACTTTATGTCAAAAAGAATTGTAAGTAATGTATAAATTATAATTTTTTTTATTTTGGCCTCGAGCTCTAGGGGTAACATCACATTTTTGGCCAAATTTTAAATTCATCAAAAAAATTTCCAAATTTGACATGGATATTTATATTTTCATGTAAAATCCTTTTTAAAAGTTTCATGTCAAAAAGACTTGTCAGTAATGTCTATATTATAATTTTTTTAGTTTTCGCCTCGAGCTCTAGGGGTACTAGCACATTTTTTGGCCAAAATTTAAATATATCAAAAAACATTCCAAATTTGACATGGATATTATTTTTGAATGTAAAATACTTTTTAAAATTTTCATGTAAAAAAGACTTGACAGTAATGTCTAAATTATAATTTTTTTAGTTTTTGCCTCGAACTCTAGGTGTACCATCACATTTTTTAGCCAAATTTTAAATTCATCAAAAAATTTGCCAAATTTGACATGGATATTACTATTTGCATGTAAATTCCTTTGTAAAAGTTTCATGTCAAAAAAGACTTGTCAGTAATGTCTAAATTATAATTTTTTTTAGTTTTGGCTTCGAGCTCAAGGGTTACCATCACATTTTTTGTCCAAATTTTAAATTCATCAAAAAACTTGCCAAATTTTACATGGATATTTCTATTTGCATGTAAAATTCTTTGTAAAAGTTTCATGTCAAAATGACTTGTCAGTAATGTCTAAACTATATTTTTTTTAGTTTTGGCCTCGAGCTCTAGAGGTACCATCACATTTTTTGGCCAAATTGTCAATTTATCAAAAAACGTTCTAAATTTGACATGGATATTGTTATTTGCATGTAAGATCCTTTATAAAAGTTTTATGTGAAAAAGACTTGTGAGTAATGTCTAAATTATAAGTTTTTTTAGTTTTGGCCTCGAGCTTAAGGGGTACTACCACATTTTTTGGAAAAAATTTAAATTCATCAAAAAAGTTTGCCAAATTGACATGGATATTTCTATTTGCATGCAAAATCCTTTGTAAAAATTTCATGTCAAAAAGACTTGTGCAGAATGTATAAATTATAATTTTTTTAGTTTTGGCCTCGAGCTTTAGGGGTAAAATCACAATTTTTGGTCAAATTTTAAATTCATCAAAAAATTTGCGAAATTTGACATGGATATTTATATTTGCATGTAAAATCCTTTGTAAAAGTTTCATGTCAAAAAAACTTGTCGGTAATGTCTAAATTATAATTTTTTTTAGTTTTGGCCTCGAGCTCTAGAGGTACCATCACATTTTTTGGCCAAATTTTAAATTAATAAAAAAACTTTCCGAATTTGACATGGATATTCTTTTTGAATGTAAATTACTTTTTAAAAGTTTCATGTCAAAAAGACTCTATAGCAATGTCTAAATTATAATTTTTTTAGTTTTTGTCTCGAACTCTAGGGGTACCATCACAGTTTTTAGCCAAATTTTAAATTCATTAAAAAATTTGCCAAATTTGACATGGATATTTATATTTGCATGTAAATTCCTTTGTAAAAGTTTCATGTCAAAAGGACTTGTCAGTAATGTCTAAATACTATTTTTTTTAGTTTTGGCCTCGAGCCCTAGGGGTAGCATCACATTTTTTGGCCAATTTTTAAATTAATCAAAAAACGTTCCAAATTTGACATGAATATTTATATTTGCATGTAAGATCCTTTATAAAAGTTTCATGTCAAAACGACTTGTCAGTAATGTCTAAATTATAATTTTTTTAGTTTTTGCCTCGAGCTATAGGGGTACCATCACAGTTTTTAGCCAAATTTTAAATTCATCAAAAAATTTAAAAGTTTGACATGGATATTTATATTTGCATGTAAATTCCTTTGTAAAAGTTTCATGTCAAAACGACTTGTCAGTAATGTCTAAATTATAATTTTTTTAGTTTTGGCCTCGAGCTCTAGGGGTACCATCACATTTTTGGCCAAATTTTAAATTAATCAAAAAACGTGCCAAATTTGACATGGATATCTATATTTGCATGTAAAATTCTTTTTAAAAGTTTCATATCAATACAACTTGTCAGTAATGTCTAAATTATAATTTTTTTAGTTTTAGTGTCGAGATCTAGGGGTCCATCACAATTTTTGGCCAAATTTTAAATTCTTCAAAAAACATGCCAAATTTGACATGGATATTTCTATTTGCATGTAAAATCCTTTGTAAAAACTTTATGTCAAAAAGACTTGTCAGTAATGTATAAATTATAATTTTTTTTGTTTTGGCCTTGATCTCTAGGGGTAACATCACATTTTTGGCCAAATTTTAAATTCATCAAAAAAATTTCCAAATTTGACATGGATATTTCTATTTGCATGGAAAATCCTTTGTAAAAGTTTCATGTCAAAAAGACTTGTCAGTAATGTCTAAATTATAATATTTTTTACTTTTCGCCTCGAGCTCTAGGGGTACCATCACATTTTTTGGCCAAATTTTAAATTAATAAAAAAAAACTTGCCAAATTTGACATGGATATTCTATTTGAATGTAAAATAATTTTTAAAAGTTTCATGTCAAAAAGACTTGACAGTAATGTCTAAATTATAATTTTTTTGGTTTTGCCTCGAACTCTAGGGGTACCATCACAGTTTTTAGCCAAATTTTAGATTCATCAAAAAAACTTCCAAATTTGACATGGACATTTCTATTTGCATGTAAAATACTTTGTAA